TTAAGAGTAGAATTGTGAATGTTTCTAAAACGAAAAAGCTAAAATATTCATATACTCGTTGGTTTTTAGAATTTGATGTAGAATATTAAGAAGAAAGATTATTCGTAATAATGCTCTGGACAAAAGGCGAATATATCAGTTATGGTGTTTTAAAAAGTGCATTATATGAAACTGTTAAGTAAATATAAGTAATAAGTAAATCCAGTAAATAATTCTTATCTTTGAGGAAAGAGAATTAATTGGTCAATAATTCTTTGGATCATCAGGTTTTTTCCTTTTGTACGAAAGATTTTTCTCAGTGCCTGATCCTGTTCGATGTTTCAGAGTTACCGCAAAAGCTATTAAAAATTGAAGATGATGGAAATAAAATTGTAGGTAACATATTTAAGAAATGATTGGAAAGTAGTCAAGCCCGGGAGCAAAATTTGATGTGATTTGAGAGAACATTGTTGAGTACCAGTAAAGAAAAATAACATCTAGAAGTTCGACTTACTATATTAAAGATATGGATGAGTTCAAATAATTCGAACAGTATCCAAGAAAAAAAAAGACCATTCACAATATATTCTTTGGACTGATGTAAGATTCTATTTGAAATATAAAGAAAACAATTATTGACAATCCGGGAAATATGAGGTAGGTCAAGAAAGTCATTTTTAAAAAGAGAAAATTTGATTAATCTTAAAAACCGAAATTTTAGACTAAGAAGAAAAACCTGAAGATTAAGTTGCATCAATAAAAGTATAGGACATTTATTTTCTTTCATAAACCCTTTACATTTATTTATAATATCGCAAAAAGATATTTTTCTTTGGCTCAAATAAAAAAATAATTTTTTTGAATTATAGAAGATTCTTTGCTTGGAAAAGATTAATTTCTTCTCCTTTATATAATATTAAGACCGAAGAATAAGAACGAAGACAGAAGTTTCTTAAAACTGAAAATTTCACATTGCATTTTAAACAGATATAGCTAAAAGTTTATCAAGATTGAGATTGATTATGTTAGTTTTTTAATTAGATGAAACTTTAATCATAATACAAACATAACATTATAATCAATCGTTTGTTTGTCTAAAATAGATTATTTTATATTTTATATGAATATCTTACCCTTTTCTACTGTAAATTTTGTGAAATTGATAATATTTCTATATTTCTTAAAAATCTAAAGATTTTCTTATATTAAGCTGAGAAATAAAATTGCGAAATTTAAGATAAAATTGAAAATTGTTTGAACATGATTATATCTTATAGTAAGAATGGGGATAAGTCTAAAATATTTGGAGATAAACCATATTTTTATTTTAATTCTATCTATAACAAAGTTGTTTTTACCACAACAATGAATATGCATTACTAGAGTCTTTAAATAATTGGCCATTGATATAGCGAATGGAATTATTTGCTATAAATTTTATACGCTTTTCTGTTACAAACATTCTTTTATTCAGTTTGTTGCAAAAATATCAAATAAATAATCTAGATAGAAAATAAGAAAAAAAAACATTTTAAGATAATTGGAAAAAAGATAAATTTGTTTAGTCGATCAGAATTATATAAAACAGCCATAATGTATTCTATCAAAAATTAAAATATATTTTATCCAAAAAGAATTAATTAGAAAAAGCCGAAATCTAATACAGTGGGTGATCGGTTAACGAACATAATCCCTTCCGAGACTTTGTTCGCTTTCCTAATTGTTCGCGAACCGATTATCAATTTACCATAGGTTTGTATGGAAATTTCATTAATTCGTTCTGGAGACCCCAAAAAATTAAAAATATATACTTTCTTACTGCGTTTATTTATATGTAATAATAAAAATACATATATACAGAGACTTGCATTTTTATTAGTCATGTGTTTTTTGTTTGTGGGGGTTAAATAATCTGTCTAATGTCGATTGCTTTTCTCTCTTCTTCAGAATTTTCAGAATTAATAGCATTGTAATTGTAGAGATCCCCAAGTCTATTAACCTCAACCTGGTTTGTATGCCATTCTAAGACTGTTGATCTGACATCTCCCACTTCTTCAAAAGATCTTTAATTAATAGCAGATATCGGCATTAATCCTCTTTTTCAGAATAAAACATATCTCGCTGAGTTTCTTGGTGTTCTTCATTGAAAGGTTCTTGGCGTTCTTCTGTCGTCAGGTCCGTTTCTGGTTACATTATGAGCTCTTCATCATTCTTTATTTCTCAGATGTGATTTTTGTTACTCCTTTAGCTGCTTGAGTCTTCTTGATTATACTTTATCTTTCTTAGATAAGATTGAACTGTGCCCTACTGTAGATTTGTTCAAACCATACTGCCCAGCAACATCAGACATCTTCTGCCCAATCTATAACTTTGCTATTATACTCTCACCTTTCGAAAATAAAAACTGACGCAAAACTTAACGAGTGCCCACCCGACAGTCTCACGAATACTATAAAAGAATTGTTTCTG